ATTGTTATTTTATTTATTTTCTTTTCCTATTTCTATTATTCCTGCAAATTCCTCGGCCGACACCAACAGCGGAAACCAAATTCCTTGTATGTTGTGTTCATACTTGGCCGTTAAAGCCGATTCTAATTGTTTGACACATGTTCAATAGACAGACAACTTTTTAACATTTTTTCCTTCAGTTCTGATCGGCTGTTACTCATGACAATCAGACAGTGCTCGCATCCATTTATTTAACCATTAACTGGTTAAGAAATCTGCAAATTTATTTCAATTTGCACTTAAAAAGAGCAGCAACATTTGTGTTTGGAGGTTTGCTAGGTGGTAGTGCTGGACTTGTGTCTATGCAACTTCTTTCACCCTATTTTTGCATTTCTAGTCACTTTAGCCTTTGTTGATGCTACAAACTTACTCGGTTAATTGCAGACAACACTAGAAAAGGAGAAAAACATTGTGGTTTCAGTTAAAACCCGGTTGTTTTCATTTGTCCTGGCACAAAAGTAGCCCCTAAACCTGTAAGTATTTAACTATTTTTATAGGCTTTTGTTTTTTTTTGTGTGTGACAATAATTTGTTTTGTGCTGTGGAACAACATCGCTATGGCACATTTTGGTGTGAGAAAATGTGTGAGCAAGAAACACCACAAATATTCAGGGCCATTTAGAAACAGTTTGTCCGCCAAAGACTTTGCAAAAGTTTGTCTACAACTCCAGTTTCTTTTTAATCCTTTAAAAGATTGAGAAAATAAACTGATGTCCATTAGACGGTAGCCTACAGCTGGTTAGCTTAGCATCAACAAAGAAAGGAAAACAGCTGGCGAGGCTCTTCTGGAGGGCAACTAAATCTGCCTTTCTGCACCTCTAAAGCTCACTAATAAACATTTTGTGTCTCATTTGCTGCACCACAGCAGCCAAACAGCTAAACTACTCGCTTTACCAAATACAGAGCTGGGGAATTATTAATTTTTTTAAAAAAAGAGAACTGCTTATCTGCTTATAAACTATTATATATTTTTTACTCTTTCTTGTTTTTCTTTTTTTCTGTCTAAAATATTGATATCCGCCTTAATAATCCATTATTGGCTGGGCTCTGCTGACAAATGCTGAAATAATACCTGCGCCGTGAGCATATTAAGGCTCAATGTGAGAGAATGTTAATTAAAAACCAGTCTCAGAGGAGCAACTTAAATTTCCAGGCTTAAAAAAAAAAAA